TCTCTGAAAACAATGGAATCAAACTAGAAATCAATAACAGAAAGATATCTGGAAAATTCTCAACTAGTTGGAAATTAAATATTAATAACACATTTCAAAATAGTCCATGAGTCAAATAGGAAGTCACAAAGGAAATTAAAGAATATCTTGAACTGAATTAAAATGAAAATACAACATAGCAAGATTTCTGTGATATATTTAAAGTAGTGCTTAGAGGAAAAAATTATGGTATTAAAGGCTTATATTAAAGAAGAAAGATCTGAAATTAATGATCTAGGCTTCCATCTTAAAAAACTAGAAAAAGGCCGGCGTGGTGGCTGATGCCTGTAATCATAGCATTCTGGGAGGCCAAGGCAGGAGGATCACTCAAGGTCAGGAATTAGAAACCAACCTGAGCAAGAGCAAGACCTCGTCTCTACTAAAAAATAGAAAGAAATTAATTGGCCAGCTAAAGATATATAGAAAAAATGAGCTGGGCATGGTGGTGCATGCCTATAGTCCCAGCTACTTGGGAGGCTGAGGCAGGAGGATTGCTTGAGCCCAGGAGTTTGAGGTTGCTGTGAGCTAGGCTGACGCCATGGCACTCTAGCCTGGGCAACAGAGTGAGGCTCTGTCTGAAAAAAAAAAAAAACTAGAAAAAGCAGCTAAAAGCAAAGCAAGCAGAAAGAAGAAAACAATCAGGAAATAAAAATCAATGAAATTGAAAAACAGAAAAATAGAGGAAATCAATTAAATCAAAAACTGGTTCTTTTAAAAGATCAACAAAATTGATAAGCCTCAGCCAAACTGACAAGAAAAATGGAGAAAAACACTTACCAATATCAAGAATGAAATAGGGAATACCGGTATAGTTCCTATAGACTTTAAAAGGATAATATTGTAATATTATTATATTGAATGACTTAATGCCAATAAATTTAATTATTTAGATGAAAAAGACACATTCCTTGAAAGACACAAACTACCAAAGCTTTCTTGAGAGGATAAAGGTATCTTTAAACGTCCTATATTTTATTTTAAAAAGTAAAATTTGTAGTTAAAAATTTCAGCACAGAAAACCCCAGGCCTCAGTGGCTTTACTGGCAAATTCTACCAAATATTTAAGGAATAAATAATACCAATTTAATGTAAATTTTTCTAGCAAATAGAAAAAGAAACATTTCTCAACTAATCTGACGAGATCAGCATTACCCTGCCACCAAAACTGGGCAAAGACATTACAAGAAAAATGGCCGGGCACCGTGGCTCACGCCTGTAATCCTAGCACTCTGGGAGGCTGAGGCTGGCGGATCGTTTGAGCTCAGGAGTTCGAAACCAACCTGAGCAAGAGCGAGACCCCGTCTTTACTATAAATAGAAACAAATTAATTGGCCAACTAATATATATAGAAAAATTAGCCGGGCATGGTGGCGCATGCCTGTAGTCCCAGCTACTCGGGAGGCTGAGGCAGGAGGATTGCTTGAGCCCAGGAGTTTGAGGTTGCTGTGAGCTGGGGCTGATGCCACGGCACTCACTCTAGCCTGGGCAACAAAGCGAGACTCTGTCTCAAAAAAAAAAAAAAAAGAAAACTATAAATCAATATCTCTCAAAAACATGATGTGAAAATCCTCAAGAAAATATTACTAATCAACTTTGGGAGGCCAAGGCAGGAGGACTGATTGAAGCCAGGAGTTCAAGACCAGCCGAGGCAATCTACAAATAATAATAATAAATTAGCAAGGTATGGTGGTGCATGACTATAGTCCCAAGTACTAAGGAGGCTGAGGCAAGAGGATCACTTGAGCCCAGGAGTTCAAGGCTACAGTGAGCTATGATCACACCACTGCACTTCAGCCTGGGTAACAGAGCAAGACCCTGTCTCTTAAAAGAAAAAAATTACTAGTCAAATCCAGCAATATATTAAAATGATAGAACATCATAAATAAGTTTAATCCCCAAGATGAAAAGTTAGTTCAGCATTTTTAAATCAATGCATTCACTATATCAACAAACTACATAATAAAAATCATATGATCATCTCAACAGATGAAGAAAAACATTTGACAAAATTCAGCCTCCACTCATGATTTTTTTAAGCCAAAAACACATCTAAGCAAACTAGGAGGTAAAGAGAACTCTACCTGATAAAAGGTTTCTGTGTTATGTATACATTGTTATATAACATAATATCAAACATTCATTATCTCACAGTTTCTAGAGGTCAGGAATCAAGGTACCACTGCCTCTGGCTCAAAATGTTTCACAAGGTTGAACTTAGACCTTGTCAGCTGCGGCTGCGGTCTCATCTGAAAACTCCCTGTAGCAGAAGTAGTGGTGGGGGGATCCACCATCCTCAAAAGGCTACATATTGTATGATTCTGTTTTTTTTTTTTTTTTTTCTGAGACAGAGTCTCGCTTTGATGCCCAGGCTAGAGTGAGTGCCGTGGCGTCAGCCTAGCTCACAGCAACCTCAAACTCCTGGGCTCAAGCATCCTGCTGCCTCAGCCTCCCGAGAAGCTGGGACTACAGGCATGTAACACCATGCCCGGCTAATTTTTTCTATATATATATTAGTTGGCCAATTAATTTCTTTCTACTTTTTTTTTTTTTTTATATAAAACTGAACTGTAATTCTTTCTACTTTTTAGTAGAGATGGGGTCTCGCTCTTGCTCAGGCTGGTTTCGAACTCCTGAACTCGAGCAATCCGCTCGCCTCAGCCTCCCAGAGTGCTAGGATTACAGGCGTGAGCCACCGCGCCTGGCCTGATTCTGTTTATAGGACATTCTGGAAAAGGCAAAACCGTAGAGACAGGAATCAGATCAGCGGTGCCATTGGCAAAATATTTCTGAGAGGCTGGCAGACCGCCTCTAGGCCATGCCTGGATTCCACCCATCTCTGTGCTGCTACTCTACGTCCAAGGCAGCCACCAGTCCTCTCTCCTCCCTGAACCCCACCCAGACTTCCTTGTAGCCCACGCGGCCTGCCACCAGACTTGCCACCAGACGGGGCGTTGATTTTCTCTGCTCAGGTGTTGCTTCCAGGCCATGCACTGGCGTGGGCACCAGGCGCATGGAATGGGATGGATGACAGTGCTGAGGCAGTCTGCCCGCAACAGCTGACCCCATCCAACATTTCCCCAGGCCCATCAACTTCCCGCCATCCTGCTCAGACCTGAGCAGTAGGAGTCAGGGGGCAGAAGGATGGCGGGAAAGGGACCTAGAATTCCGCCCCCCACATCAGAAAGCCCCGCGTGGAGGAGCCCTTCCTGCTGACGGGTGAGTGCTGACGGGAACCCCCTGCAGCCATCGTGCCTTCCTCTTACTTCTCCCTCATTCCTTCCCTGACGGTGCAGCCCTGGTCGGGGCAGACACAGACGCTGCCCACGAGGCGTTTAGAGGCTGGCAGGGAATGCGGAGGAACAGCCAGTTATTACGCGATGCGGGTGCTGTCCCCAGAGACGCGCAGACCACACGGGAGGGCTCCTGGCACAAGCGTCTTCCCCGCAGAGGCTGTTCCGAGCCGCATTTCCCACGACCCGCGGGAGTCCGCACACCCTGCAGGTCCTCCCCCCACCGCCCGCAGAAGGACGCGCGGGGCCGACGGACGCTCCTCCGGGGCCTGACCCGCAGCCGGGACGCGCGGGGCCGACGGGACGGCTCCTCCCGGCCCTGACCCGCAGCCGGGACGCGCGGGCCGACGGGACGGCTCCTCCCGGGGCCCGACCCGCAGCCGGGACGCGCGGGCCGACGGGACGGCTCCTCCCGGGCCTGACCCGCAGCCGGGACGCGCGGGGCCGACGGGACGGCTCCTCCCGGGCTGACCCGCAGCGGGACGCGCGGGCCGCGGGACGCTCCTCCTGAGCCTGACCCAGCGCGGCCGGGACGACGCCGGGCGCCACGGACGCGCTCCTACGCGCCCTCGCGGCCGACCGCCGCGGGACGACGCTCATCCGGCCCGCAGCCACGCAGCGGGACGACGTCCTCCTGACTGACCCCAGGCTGGACGCGCGGTGCCGACGGACGATCCTCCCGGGGCCGACGCGCAGCCGGGACGCGCGGGCGACGGACGCGCCCTTCCCGGCCGCCACCAGCCGGGACCGCGGGCGAGCGGACGGCTCCTCCGGGCCGACCCAGCCAGGACGCGCGTGGCCGAACGGCACGCTCCTCCTGAGCCTGACGCACCGGACGCCGAGGCCGACGGACGGCTCTCCGGGGCCGACCGCAGCCGGGACGCGCGGCCTGACGGCCTCCTCCTGAGCTGACCGCAGCGACGCGCCGCGAGCCGACGGACGTGCTCCTCCGGGGCCTGACCCGAGCCGGACGCCGGGCCGACGGGACGGCCTCCTGAGCCCTGAACCCGCAACGCGACGCGCGGGGCCGACGGGACGGCTCCTCCGGCGCCCTGACCCGCAGCCGGGACGCGCGGGCGACGCACGCTCCTCCTGAGCCTGCCCAGCCGGGACGCGGGGCGACGGGACGGCTTCTCCCGGGCCTGACCCGCAGCCGGGACGCGCGGGGCCGACGGGACGGCTCCTCCCTGAGCCTGACCGCAGCCGGACGCGCGGGGCCGACGGACGCTCCCCGGCCTGACCGCAGCCGGACGCGCGGGGCCGACGGCACGGCTCTCTGAGCCCTGACCGCAGCCGGGACGCGCGGGCCGACGGAAACGGCTCCTCCGGGCTGGACACCGCGCGAGACGCAGGCCACGGGACGGCTCTCTCCGGGGCCGACCCAGCAGCGGGACGCCGGCGGCGCGGAATGCCGCGCGGCGGCCCGCCAGCTCAGCCGGTTCCCATGGGATCGCGGGCCGGGCTTCGGGACGGCCGGCGGCGCCGAGCCGGCGCGGCAGCCGCGCGCCGTGATCCCGGCGGGAAGGAGCGGCCGGCGCGGGGCCGGGCCCTGCGGCCGGCGCCACGTGGCGCCGCTGAGGCTGCGCGGCGCGGGCGGAGTCGGACGGCTCTCCCGCGCGCGCGCCAGCCATACCGCCAGCCGGCCTGCGCGAGTCACGGGGCCCCTGCGGCCCGGCCTCGCCGCCGCCCGCGCGGGAAGGCCGGGTGTCTTCTTGCGGAGGGAAGTGACACCCGAAATTGGAACCGGGGAAGCCGCAGCCTTCCGCGCTGTGCAGCCGGCTCGCGTGTCTTAGATCGAATGCACCGTAACGTTAAAGGGCGATTCTCTTACAACCCTGCTGCTTTGGGATGGCGGGTTACATTTGAACTTGCAGGGCATTTCACAGGCCATTAAAATCGGGTTACCAATGGCAGCTGTCAGGTAGCCTGTTATCCCTCACCGCGCTGCCGCTGCTGAGGGGAGGAGTCTCCACAGACCTGGGCCCATTTCCTAGTTTTTTAACAAGTGCTGTTCTCTTCTAGGTCCTTGACAAAGACTCGTCGCAGCGTGGGGCTCCAGTTCAGTCCCTTCGTACCGATATTTAATAAGCGACATTTTCAAGCTATGTGAAGATTCATATTAAGATTTATTCCTCTGTGATGGAGAAGTATGAGAAAATTAGGAAAATTGGAGAAGGATCCTATGGAGATGTTTTCAAATGTAGAAACAGGGACACGGGTCAGATTGTGGCCATCAAGAGGTTTCTGGAATCAGAAGATGACCCTGTCATAAAGAAAATCGCCCGTCGGGAAATCCGCATGCTCAAGGTAATTAATTCACCCTTTTCTTCAAAGTGAATTTCCCGGGATTAAAAAAGTTAAGTGAGTGGTGTTAAGTTAAACGAACACCTTGGGACACAGTCACATCTTCCTTAATGGCCTTTTGACTTCAGTGACAAAGTGGAATGTCTGTGTGCAAACCACTATGTAACGATCTAGGAAGCAGAATCATAAATGCAGGGTACGGCGGTATTCGCTTTTAGAGATGCGGTGAGGTATTTTACTTTTATTTTATTTTTCTTCCCAATAGCTTCTCTCCCATATCACCTGTAGAGCTCGATTTTCAAGAGCCATCACACTTTGATAGTACAGAAACCTAGAACAACTCAATTTTGCTAGCATTGTTGATTTTTAAACGTCTGGGCTCTTTTCTCATTCTCAGCCCATTAAGAGACTTAATCATTTACCTGTTTCCAAACTGCTAGGAAGCTGACAGGTTTTCCTTACACCTCACATGTATCTACTGAGCATCATAATGTCCTGTCTCTAACAGAAGGTTTCTTCTTAAAGAAGTGAAATGATCACATTTTAAATGTTTTTTAATTAACCCTAGATAAGGAACCTGAATGGGAAGTAGCAGGCTTTGGATAAATTAAAGTGGGCGGATATTGGGAAAACGTCTCTATCTGGGCTTGGGGTGTTCTTTATCAGAAGTTTTTCTATTGTGAGGAGACACTTCCACAGCCTCCCAGTGGAGTGCTGGGGAGGGGCGAGACTAGCAGTGTCTGACCACCCCCCTGCCCTGGCCCTCTTCCATACACAGGGAGAGGTTATCACCATTTCTCTTGGGCTTATAGGCGGTTGCACTTTCTCAGGCTTTCCCTAGGGGAGAAGGTGGTAATTGCATTTCAAAGTGTTCATTTGCTCCAAAGAAAATCTATTTCTAGCAGGGATACTCTTTTTCTGATTCTGAAGGTCACCTGTGAATGCCCCTGTCAAACCTCTCATCACACTCTATCAAGACTATGTTTGCAGGTATAGCTCCCTGAACTGAGTTTCTCCAGTATGGGGACCTTGCCTCTATATCTCTGGAGTCCCAAAGCACACTAGTTAGCACTAGGCTTCCAAAAAATGTTATTGTTGGATTGAAAAAAAAAAAAAGTTAACAAAATAAGCTCTTTGGAAAGGTGGGTGTTGCCAGTAAATTCTGAAGTCAGATGTGTTCTCTTAATTGAATATTGATGTACTTTCAAGATTAGGGTGTGTGCACAGGAGCCTGATTTCAGAACACACAGCACCCCACTCTCCAAATCAAGTGCACAGATGTTGACAGGCCGGGTCTATATGAGGTGGTGGGATTTGGTTATTGGTAGAGTTTGTCCCTTCAAGCCCTAAATTTTCTGAATGTTATGATATTTCTGACACATAATAAGTACTTAATAAATATTAGTTGAATACGTGAATTGAGGGTATGTGAAATGAAGTCATATTTTCTCCATTTATTTATTTCATTAATACAGAGCCCCAATTGTGCCTAAAACAATGTTTATACAAAGTTGTACTTTGTCTTTCAGAAGCTCAACTCTTGGAAGAGAGGTAAGGCGAATTTCCCCTCAGCTCTCACTCCTGATATACTGGCTTCCTAATTGGAGCGCCAGTGTCCCATGTACCTGTGTACCCATGCCTGGCAAGAACTCTCTAAGTGCTTACTGAATAATGAAAATAAAGGGTTTGGAGGCATGTTTGAGCTGGACATTGACATGTTTAGGGAGGCATGGAATGAGGAATAAGGTATTCAGGGCAGACAATCTATCCTGGGAAAAGGCGCATAAGTAGAAAGCACAGTATATTGAGGGAACACATGTAATAACTCCAAAGTCTTGGCCAAGATGCTTGTTGGGTGCTAATGGGCCAGGCAGAGAAGGAGGTAGGAAGCCAGAATCCTGTAGCTGGGGTTTGGGAGTGGGGTGAAGAGTTTCCTAGAATACAGGTCTAGGGATGGTTAGTACACAGCTACACCATGGTTCTGGGTGGCCTATGGGGTTTGGAGCCTGAGTCCAGGGGTCATGTTGTAAGTCTCTGAGAACAGGAAACCAGTGAGGTCTAGGAAAGTGTTTTAAGGTTTCTATGAGCTGGAATTCAGTGCCTATGGGAAGGAGGAATTCTAAACTGTGAGAGCACGGGTGGGTCCAGGAAAAGGATCTTACTCAGTGGCTCAATATTACCCCAAATTCTTGAAATAAAAAACAGTAAATAACAGGGTAAAAAACTATTTTGGTAAATTTTTAGAAAAGATTCTCGAAAATTTTGGAACACTTTTCAAATACCATTATTTCATGCCATTGAAAAAAAATGACCTTTTATGAGAAATTCAGAATTTGTGCCTAATAAACTGATATGATTCACTGTTCACCAAGAGATCCCACTGTAGTCAACTCTTTAGTGTTTTAATTTTGAATCATAAATTTCCAGCTTATGTAATTAGGCTTTTAAAAAAATAAACAATTGCTCCAGTTAAAATTAGCCAACTCATACTCAAAGGACAAATTAAATACCAATCTAGTGACAGTAATAAAATTTTATAGCAAAACCTTAGCTCAGAGCAACTATCCTGCCCTTTTGCAAACCACTTTCCATTGGGAAAAAAAGAAAAGAATTCAGTGTTTTCAGTCAGCGGTTTTGATGAGACACCCGTGCATAAGATAGTTGACATGTGTGTCATTTGGCAGGTGTTTACAAAACTGCATGTACCAGGCACTGTTACAGGCTCCTGCCTTCATGAGTTTGCATCTTACTAAAAGAGAGGCTGACAGTAAAAAATATAATTATACGTCAAGTGGTGAAAAATAAAGCAGGATGACGTGATAAAGGGCGATGGGGGGCTTGCTTTTTTATATAGGGTGGTTCTGATGAGTGACATTTGAAAAGAGGCCAGAAAGAAACATGGGCTGACTGAGGCTGTTATCTAAGGGAAGATCATTCCAGACAGAGGGCACAGTGAATGCAAAGGCCCCATGGCAGGATCAAGTGATCTGGTCCTGGCACGTTCTGCTGTGTTCCAGGAGGAGCAAAGAGGTCAGTGTGTCTGGAATAGTCAGCGAGGGTGAGGGTCACAGAAGAGGGAGTTAGACAGCTAAGTGGGGCAGGCAAGAGGGCCTCGTGGGCCAGGGTAGGGTCTGTGGATTTCACTCTGAATGAGATAGGAGCCATCAGAAGAATTTTGAGCAGATGGGAGTCTTGGTGTGACTTACATGCTAGATGGATTCCTCTAGCTGCTGGTTGCTCTAGCTTCATAGTTAGGAGACTGTTGGAATAATCCCAGGTGTGAGGTAATGGGATTTGGCTCAGAGTGGTGGCAGTGGAGGTGGTGAGAGGTAGTCAAATTCTCGATTTATTCTATGAGAAGAGCACATAGGAGTCTGATGATCGGATGAGGAATCAAGAATGACTGCAAGGTTTTTGACCTGAGTAACTGGAAGACTGAAGAGATTATTCACTGTGATAGAGAACCCAGGTGCAGATTTAGAGGAAAGAGAAACAAGAGTTCTATTTTGGATGGGTTAAGTTTGCGATGTGAATCCAAGGAGACCTATAGTCCGAGGAGACACAAGTCTGGCATTCAAGGGAAGTCCAGGGTGGAGATACAAAGTTTGGAGACGTAAGCATATCAATGTATTTGAAGCCATGAGCCATGAGTCAGGGTGAGATCACCATGGGGGATGGAAGGACAGATACTGAGGACAGAACCCTGGTGCACCCCAGCATTTGGGAGTCAGAAAGCTGAGGAGGAACTAGCAAGGAAGGCAAGAAAGGGCAATTGCAAGGATCTTGAGAACAATGTTCTTTTAAAAACTTAGTGAAGAAATGGTTCAAGAATGAGGGGATGGTCAGCAGTGTCAAAGGTCTCCATTAGTACAGATTTGGGATTAGCCATTGGCTTTGAAAATATGAGGGTCATTTGAGATCTTGACAAGAGCTTCTTGGGTGGTGTGGTTGGAATGAAAGCTTCATCTGCAAGGGTTCAAGAAAAATGGGAGGAGCAAAATGGAGACAGTGAGACAGACAACAGTTTTGAGGACTTTTATTATAAAAGTGAGCCGGGGATAGGCATGGTGGTGCACGCTTATAATCCCAGCACCTTTGGAGACTGACGTAGGAGGATTGCTTGGGGCCAGGAGTTCAAGACCAGCCTGGGCAATAGTGAGACCCCTAGCTCTACAAAAAAAAAAAAAAAAAACTTAGCTGGGCATGGTGGCACAAATCTATAGTCTCAGATACTCAGAAGCCTAAAGTAAGAGGACCACTTGAGCCAAGGAGTTTGAGGTTACAGTGAGGTATGATGATGCCACTGCACTCCAGCCTAGGTGACATAGTGAGACTCTGCCTAAAAATAAAAAAAAATAGTAATCCAAGAAATGGGGCAGTCGGTGCTTAGAGAAATGTTATATGAAGAAAGGGGTTTTTATTTTTGTGGTGATTGTTGTTTTTATTTTATTTTATTTTAAGACAGAGTCTCACTTTGTTGCCCAGGCTACAGTGAGTGCCATGGCATCAGCCTCGCTTGCAACAACCTCAATCTCCTGGGCTGAAGCGATCCTACTGCCTCAGCCTCCTGAGTAGCTAGGACTACAGGCATGTACCACCATGCCTGGCTGATTTTTTGTATATATATACTTTTAGTTGGTCAATTAATTTCTTTCTATTTTTAGTAGGGATGGGGTCTCGCTCAGGCTAGTTTCAAACTCCTGACCTTGAGCAATCCTCCTGCCTTGGCCTTCCAGAGTGCTAGGATTACAGGAGTGAGCCACCGCGCCCGGCCTGTTGTTTTTAATATGGAAAAAATAAGTATATTTGAATGTCAATGGTATTAATCTAGCAGAGAGAAAACTTGATGTTATAGGAGGGAGAGAATGGCTGGAGCCATAACCTTGAGTTATAGACCTGATCCATGACCAAACATATATATAATAGCATAATAAAAAAACAATTCATGGACCATGTGAGAGATTAGGTGACCTCTTATTCTATTTGGACTGTGCTAGATTCTT